CATGTCCTTGCCATACTCCCGAGCGCAGTCGTGCATATAGACGATCCCCTCCAGCAGATTGGTGGCCCTGAGATGTGTATCATCATCCGAATAGGTGTTGACCTCCATCGAGGCGATTTCCATCCATCCGCCCGGCTTCAGATTCTCGAGGGCTTGGTGAAAGAGGTGGTCGTAATCGCGAACGCAGCCCTCCAACTCCCGACCGTGGATATAATCGAACGGCTTGCTGTAGGACCATGGTTGCTCAAAATCATCGACTTCGAATCGGCAATTCGGGGGAATCCTGCGCGGTCAGTGACATTGTCCGTCCACCTCCGCGGGGGCCACACCTACCAGGACGGTTGAATGGGACTGAGATCATTTCCTGCGCCATCATGTCAGTGATCCGTCATGCCTAGGGGCGTCGCTCATCGTACCGATCACTTCTGCCTCGGGATGCTCGCTGCCCGCCCACATTAGCGCCAGTCCAACATCAGAGGGATCACATTTCCCCGCTTACTCGGCATAGTCGATCGCCCAGATGCCCGTGCCCGTTCCAATGTCGAGTACCCGTGCGGGATTCTTCACTGGCGCTCGATTCAGCTCTCCCTTGAAGAGCATGCGATAGATATGGTGGCTCTGCTCCAGTCAACCCTGGACTCGTCCGTCGGTTTCAATTTGCGCCACACTAACCAGGTCCAGCCGATCTTGTTCTTGTTCATCATTGGGCTGCGAGATCAGTTATGGGAAGCGATGCGAGATGGGCGATCGAATGGGCATACCAGGACGTATTCTCCCTCGTGGTAGGAATGGTATCTGCGACCGTTCTGCGACACTTAGCCGAAGCTCGGAGGGTGGATGCGGACGGGGGTTCCTATAATACCTCATATCTGACGGGGTTAGTGGTTGTAGGAGAGAGGCAGGACAGGAGGAACATACGCATAGTTCATGGCACTGGATGTGATGCTGGTGGTGTAGCTGGCGTCGCCCAGCCTTGGGTTGTGGTCAGCGCGGACCGTTGGAACCAGACGACAGGACAGTCGCGGGTAGGAACTTACGAGCCGGGATAGGTGGAGTCATTGTCGCTGAAGTTCTGTGGTGGGCAAAAAGAGAAAGAGAGATTAGCGCGGGAAGAAAGAGATCAAGCCAAGCAGACAGAAGAAAGGGATAAAGTGGATGGTTGGTGATGAAAAAGAGATACGAACATCCGGTTCAATGACACTGGAATCCGGGGGAGGAGCGCGATCGTGACACATGGTGTTGGTGTGGGTGAGAGGCGAGATTGACGGGCGGGCGATGCGGGAAGGGATTTGAGGAAAAGTTAAGTCAAGAGAGAGAGAGAGACGAGTTGTCGCTAGTTGATATCGTAAGAAGCAACGGTGATCGGATCCCCCACTAGTTTTCAATCCCCAGAAATTGTCGCTCAGTTGGCAGGAAGTTAATACCAACCAAGTCTCTCAAATAAGGAATAAGATTTGTCGAACAACAAAGGGGAAGCAAGAAGTGAAAACAAGGCAGAAAAGTGGCAGGCAACTATTCCCACCGCGCGATCGGATGGAGATTAGTAGCACCGGAGGACCCAATTCCCTTTCCCCGGTCGAGTTCAGGAGGCAGTAGGGATGGATTTAAGGTAGGACTCTGACTCGTGAGTGGTCTGTGGTGCCGTAGTCTGATCTGGATGGATGAGAAAGTAAGAGAATCGTAATCATTGGCGAGGAATGAACATGAGTGGTGAAAGAAATGAGGAAAATAAAAGGATGTGCCTGCAGTCAACACACTATTTTATTTTCGAACCTGGAAAATAAAAGAAGCGATAAACAAGGCCCGAGGTCAAGCTGGTCAAATCCCCATGCGCGATGACCGTTTTCCCCCCAACCATTCGTCCAGCGGCGACCAAGGGCCCCCTGGTAGTCTGTACAGTAGTGCCCGAGAGGACTGACTGAGTACTGACTACTATCTATCGGGCTTCATCAGGGAGGGTCCTTTGGCCGACGGGGCGGTCGCTTACGGATGCAGCAGGACATCTGCCGCGAAGCAGTTGGCAATTGGCAGTTGAACAGCTGATGCTGTTTGGTCCGTTCGGTACGAGCTGGACGATTCTCCCGTCCACTAATTTTCTCTTGCCTGGTCCGCCTATCGGGGCCACTCGGATGGTTCTCCGCCTGCATCTAATTAATAGCTATGTAGTACTTACTTACTTTTACTTTAGTACGAGGGAGTTCTTTTGCATCAGGAATAATATATTATCTAGTGGCTTCTGTCCATCTCTTGATTGCTGTACCTATTGTCTGTCAATGTGAATGATGTGATGAAGGAGTTGATTCCATCTGAAAAGAAAAAGGAGAAAAACACATGGCTATCCGCACTAACCAACTAGTAGCCGACCTGGACTCCTCCCCCCCATCAACTTAACAAGTCACTAACACATCACTACTAATTTACTAACCAACTGGGTAAAAGTCCCGCACAAAGAACACACAATTGATCCAAGACAGCATCGATCATCAGTCACGACCAGATCGACATTGGTCCTGTTCTGCACACTTTCCCCCCTGCAGCGAATCGCTATTGCAGCTTCAGCGGACCCCCAGTGTCTTTGCCCCGAGTCTATTTTCTTGCCATGTGCCATGACCCTGGGGCTAAAGAACCACGTCAATTCCCTGAAGAATCCAAAGGGACAGATCGTCTCTCGGAGCCAAGTTTCTCCTGCTGCTGCATACACAAGTACAGCAGTAGTACTACTACCATCCTGCCAGTTGCCAGCTCTCCACGCAGCTGCTACAATCCCTTCATCGGGTTTAGTCCCACCGCACGGCCATCCGCCCTTGCCACGATCGAGCGTCCATTCTGGCCTGCACGTCGGCCGAATGGAGGCCATCGAATTCGATGGATCGCGCACATCACATTCCGGATTCCTCCCCTCCCCCCTCATGGGTGACCAAACTAGTAGAAAACTATTAGATATAACTATCCTGCTCAAACCCCCCCCTCGGCTGCCTTCGTATGCCTTGTTTTCGACCACCCTGCGTCGGTGATCCATTCCGCTCCACTGGCTGGTCAATTTGCGTCCCTCTTTCTTCGGTCAACAGATCATGATCTGCTCTTTCTCGCCTTCTTGAATCAGAGAAGAAAAAAAAAAGAAGAAAAAACCCTGCTGCCCACCGGGCCCCTCAGACCCTCCAGCGGCTGTGGAGTGGCCTCCATGCCTCCACAGCACTAGAACCGGATTCTCGCCAATGAGCCCGCCGTGAGAAGTTCTTCGTGCCGTCCGTCGGTTTCGCTATGTCACCGTCGATTCTTCAGGCGTAGCAGCGGGCTCCACTCTCGTCGGCTCGTCCCATGCGCTTTCATCCTTCACCGTTATACCTGCGAGTCTACGTTTTGAGTAACCACAACACCACGCCTGTCGGGGTTCGGCCTAGAAATGTGATCGTGCTTATGCTCTGCAACAGTGGCATGACTGTATCATAATCGGTGTACGGAGTATTGGGGTATCAATTCGCCTCCGTATACTCCCGACTGTTCCCAGGATTCCAAACATCAACATGCCCGAAATTCGACCATCGCTCGTGGCTCACGGCGTAGCAACAAGCCAACCTTGACGACTGGAAATAATTTCCGATCGAACAATCCCAATTCCACGTCAGCCATGACGTTGTCCAGTTTTTCAGCGATCGCCACTGATGCCGGCGTATTCCCGCGGGCTAACAGATTTTTTTTTTTTTCATCATGGTCGAATGAACGTGGATGTGCGGAGATGGATGGACCAGCTGGTGAGTACTTTCGTGCTAGCGAACCACAAAGTACCTCCGAGCCCTTCCCGCCCGAATCCCGAACCGCCGTGAGCAATCCATGCAAAAAAAAGAGTTTATGTGAGGTTAACACGCCCTACATGGTTCGGCAAACTGCCAGGGGTCTGTCTGTCTTGCCTAATCCGGCATTGTACTGGCTTGGGTTTCAGTCTTTGGCCCCTCGGGATCACGCGATGACATCCTCGCAGTCAGCCCATCTCTGGTGTCGAGCTTCATTATCCCTATAAGGAATAACCTGTATCACAGCTCTTTGTTTCCCACATAACCAAGTGACTCGACAGTCGACACTCCTAGTCCATACAACAGGCATGATAACCAGAGATGGTACCCACGGATATTTGCTGGCGTTCCACCGGCAATCTCTTTGTCAACACGGGAAACGGTCCGAACCACTGATTGTGATGGGCCATGCCTTAACACTCTTTGCTATGCCTCTATTTGCAACGCGGAATCAATAGGACAATAATCCATCATCCGCTGATTGGACCTCCAAACCAGTTCTCCTCATTTTAATAGTTCACTGAGGTATATTCATGTCCAGTGGAGCTATACCAACTATCAAGTCACTTCTCCGAAAGTGACTACACCCATATTCTGTAGGATTCGTACAGCTTCTGGTACCATTCTCGCCAAAAGCCAAGACCAATGCCTGCCAAGTCTGTTGGCCGAGTCACTTGTCGTATCACCGGGATACATTCAATTTACGAAAGGAAGTCCAAGAGTCTACCAGCTTTCCTCTTTTATCCACCAGCAGTAGTGTTGTACTCAACGGCCGGCATTAGCGGCTTTGCAGAACGTTACGCCTATCCTAAAGACGCTTAGTCCTTCGATCCTTTGACACAACAGCGTGGGGTGATGTTTTTCGATGCTACGTGCCAGAAGGATTCTAACCCGACGAATAATTCTCTATGTATCGTTGACAACCCACATTTATGAGAGAATTGCAGATGACAACTCGTGCCAATCACCTACGGAATACAAGCAAGAAGCGAAAAAGAAAAAGAGATAAGCAAGGGACCCTGCTGGTTCCTTGGTTGACCGACGATCGGTCAGCTTTACCCGCACCCCACGAACCAGTCGACCAACCGTGCATGTTGTGCAGCTGGTCGCATTTCAGACTAATTCCATCACGCATACTAGGCACATATCGGCATTTGCTGATATTCAATAGAAACAAAAAATAAGTAAAGTAAAAAAAGTAAATTTTTATGCGTTAGCTGGGAGTCGAACCCAGGGCCCAACCTCACGATCTTGTTGAATCATGGAAGGGTTGAATGTTACCGTTACACCACTAACGCTGGCAATAGTACATTCTTTTCATGTACAGGCTCATAAAGAAGTGGTGTGTTGAGAAGAAACAAAGCAGTTAAGAAGCTCTCCTGTCGTTAGTTGCTCAGGAGTATCCCCGGGGACCATATTCCACGGATCCATCGATTTAGACTATCCGATCAACGCAGCGGTCAATCACGGAGCGTATGCCACGTCACCCGACGAACCGCCAGGGATTCATTCCAGCATGTGTGAAACCCCGAGACTTATTAGTTACAGCAAGTCCTGTGTAAACTCCTACCTTTTTGAACAAAGACCAATCCTGGTACTCCATTCACAATTGAGTCGTATGACATTCTCCGAACAAACCCTTCCCCAAGAATCACACACACCCACCCACCTAATCAATTTAGACGGACGGCAAGGTTTTCATCCCGCGTCTCCCCTGCAAGAGCCAATCCATGTGGTTGACAGCCTGTGGAGACTGGAGACAGGCGGGCTAGTAGTAGTCACTTAGTTCTCTCTCTCCTCGCTAGTCACTACTTACTCCGTACACACCGTTCGATAGAAACCGACGCGACGCTGCTCATTGCCCAAGGCGGTAACAGGTTTCCAGTGGGTGGACTGGAACTCTTGTCTTCTCTTCTCTTAAACTTCCCGTGTTTGGAATAGAATCCTTCCCATCCTTCTTCCATCCCTGCTGGTGATGGGGATATATCACCCTCGGCTTATTACGGTCAGATAAGTTAACTGCATGTTAAGCATGGTGCAGGCTGCAGGTGACTGTTGTGATACATTCTATGATAAATGAAAAACTAGGGTCAGAAAGTGAATTAGTTAACTAGCCTCGGATAGTTAACTAGTTAAGTAGTTAGCTACCGTCGGATCCCTCACTTCCCCGTCGTGCTTCTTGTGGTTTTCTGTCTTCCGTTGGATGGGATAAAAGTTCCTACCAATCAGACATACAGAATCTTAATGCGGTTGGCTACTAACTAACCTACCTACCGGCAGCATAAGCACGAAACTGGAAATAATACTACTAATGCTAATACTGCGTAATCAGGAAGTCGGTCGCATCGTCCGTGCGCCTGCTTATCCACACAATCGATTTCATTACCTCAGTTATCCTGCAGGTTAATGCAGTACTTTTTTGTTTCTCTTCACTGGCTAGTTTACTAGAAATATGCCGGCCTAGTCACGAGACTCAACTCAACTCGACTGACTCAACTGACTCGACTGGGCTGGACTGGACTAGATTCGTCTTTTGTGATGGAGGCTGCAGCCGGCAGGATTCGAGATGCCGCGAGCCGCGGACTTCTTCCGTCCGGTCTGTCTGTCTCACTTTTTCTTTCTTCTGTTCACTTGTTAAGATGGTGATAATTAGTATTCTACTCTGTACCGCGCGCGGGGTATAGTGGAGTCTTGGCGTCCACTGGTCTTGTTCTGAATACGAGATGTAGTCTGTAGTCTTTTATCACAGCAGAAAAGTGCGGACGGGTTGATTCGCTATCTGTCTGTCTGTCTGTTGGATGTGTTGTGGTGTGTTGTTCACCGGTTTTTCTTGGGCTTGGCGGTGTCTTTTTCACACGCTCCGCAGCGTTAATATTGTCTTCATGTTTCTGTGCGTCACTGGTAGGTACGGAGTAGATGAGTGAGTAATGCTCGGTATCGCCTCAGCTATATGCTTATCTGATATCCTCATAATAATACTTAGGTATATGGGTCAACACACTGTCGCCTGGATATAGAATCTACCGGATTCTAGCCTCATTCGAAGAGGCGTGGATCTTTACGAGCTGTGGTTATAAAATATATTTTTATCCAGACACGGATCTTCTATATTGTTCGAGGTAAAAAGATATATATATATATATACTCTATATCTATACTCTTCGCATTGCGACTATTATTCATGGCTTATCCACGAAAATTCCACGCCTCAATTGCAGAATCTCGCCCTTAGAAAAGGATAAAGAACCAATGTCTAATAAATGTGCTGCATCCCCACGATATACCTACATGATCTCGGTCAGAGCAATGTCGTTTACAGCTTACAGTCATGATCTCCGTGGCAAACTTCCATGTCATTGATCAAACCATGACATGATGACAGCATTGCCATTTACTAAACACGTGTTCCATCACTACATAATGATGCACAGGTGCAACTGATACCAAGATAATAGAATATCTTTTTTCTTTATACTATCTAGGATTTATTTATATTTATTTGTTGCAAGATCTACCCACCGCCAGATCCCAATATGTCTATACTGTCTTGACATGATACGTCTATTGACTTCGCATCTAGAAATAGCAATCACCAACCTCAAGCGGGGTTCTGGACATGCCAGCGACATGATTTATGGTATGTCTCAACTATCGATCTAGGCTCAAAAATGCTACATTAGTCTAGAATGTATGACCAGACAAGTTTCCCCGACTCCAGTGCGGATATTCGCGCGCAAGGAGCAGGATTTTTCCAATGAAAAGCCCAGATGAGATTGACAGTGTCTATATGCGCAGGGCATCCTTCATGAATCTCGATCAACGTGTATGAAACGGATCTGTTTCCTTAATGCACAACTAACAATGGCCCCGTCTCTTGATACGCGAAGAACTAGATCACTGACTAAAAAGGCGCATTTAGAGAAGCTACCTGGCAGTCATGCGTTTGCTCATAACCAGGCAAGTCATCCGGTTGCATTGATGTTGCATTGATTCTTGAGATATCGTAGTCGTGTGTCTTCAAACACAGTTCTTCTCACTTACGCTTATCATAGGAATTCGCAGCTTGACCAGTATGTTCGGCATTTCTGGTAGTGATAATATCCTAAGAAATACGTTGAATGACAACATCTCCCTCGGATCGAAGATGTGGGTTTCTTTTTGAGTACAGGATCTTCTTGGGTAAGCTACCACAGCTTACAGAGACATTTTGTGTCCTTGCAAGCTGCGCCACAAACATCAACAGCGTGCCAACATAATTCCAGATAAGTACAGCCGGGACATTTTGTTTGAGTCGTTAACGGCTAGTAGAAGATAATTTCCTAGCGTTTACTCGTTTTCCATATCTAGAATGGGAGCCATCTGAAATACTTAAATAGAAGATCGAGAGGACGAAAGATATTTCACTAACACGATATAGTCTTATTGTTATCTAATATAGTATATATATACTCTGCTTTCATTATGGATATCATCTATCCAACTTCTTCAATATCTGTCCACATAGAAATAACTTTCAATATCTTTTGTAGTCTTGAAGTTGTATCAAGAAATATGTGTGAAAAGAAATAAGATTGGCAAAAGACATACTTAAGTATCTTCTAACCCCAAAACACAATATCTGAACAATTAACTTAGAGCTCAACAGAATGGGAATTTTCGGTTATTGCAGGAATCAAGTCCACTGGCATTCGAATAAAGCCTACCACCTAGCTACCTAACTGAGCCACTTTACCATCACCGGGATTTGACAGGAAACTCGCAATCCTTTTGTTGGGCTATTCAGATCAAACTATCATGGTTGTATAAGAATGTTGCCTACTTCATTCAGTCCCTGGTCCGCAGCGGAAAATATATCTTCAATCCCATCTCAATTGTCACAAATGTAGCCGGCTACCCCAGGCTCCCACCACCTTACTACTACTATTACTTATACTATCTAGTGTTTCCACTAGTTCATGGGTGTCTTAACTCATCGAGGTCCTTTGTATTATTCAGTTTTATTTCTGTAAATGTGCCTGGGTATTGTATGCGTACATCTCTACGAACACCTGGGCGTCCTTCTCATAGACCCATCTATCTTGAAGAAAACATATATTCGTTCTTGACATGATCCAAAAAGGCAAGAATAATGTATGTACATCTTATGATTGTAACTGTTTCAGAAATTCGACTAATTGATATAGTCGACCTTGTCAGATAATACGAATACGAGCGAGGAAACCCGGAGAATTTGGTCAATCGAACCCAAAGAAGCCTAGCTTGAGAGCTCACCTGGATATCGACCAAGACATGAGCAATCAATAGATGCTAGCTCAATAATAAGAGACGGGACTATTAATGGCACTGCTCCGCTTGTTCGAACCGCTATAATACTAGCGAAGACTTACACAGACTGGGGGTTGTTGGTGCCTGGAAGCCATAGGACGTACATATTCCCTCAAAAGGATTTCATCGCGTTGGCGAGACGTAAGCCTGAAAAGGATCTCTAGATCGCGAAAGACTCCGATCAATGAACTAGATAACCCCTGGGTTCAATTCGGGTTCCATTCTTCGGAGCAGCAAGAAACACGGCTCACATGTAAGCTTAAAGAAGGTTATCCAAACATGAGCTACACCCACCATACGGGCACAGTACAAAGTAGGATAAACTATGTATGTTCCCATGGTTCAATAGACTGTTTAGCAGAACAATCACCAACATGCTCCACACCAGCGTATATTCCATGAAACACGGCTGACGGATCAGCTTACGTACCACTAGGAGAAGTGTCAACCTCGTGCCATCGCACGTCAGTAAGCTATCAATGCAGATTCAGTTACACAATTGCTTCATGTGGAAGTCACCTCCGATGATCAATGGAATGGACCGCTTCAATCCGACTTTTCATTTTGACCCACCTTCTGTGGAAGAACGCACAGTTGATGTTGCCGTTGACGTTGGACACTATCAGTAATTTTCCCTATGGGGCCGTGCAACTAGCAAGGCTTAATGCTCGTGCAGAAAATAAGCACACCGGGAATGCGAGGAACCGACGTCCTGCATTACTGTGCCTCGGAAGTTTTACATTGAGACAATTCCAGAAGTTTCTCTATATATTTATCCGACAAAGATTTCCACAGCACGGTGTGCGGCCTATCGTTGCACGGAAGATTCTATAACCCGATAGTTAAGCAGAACATATTCTATATTTATCACTGATGGCTGAGCTGCCCCTAGACATGCCAACCGGGCTAAAATGGCGATCGAGCTGAGCGACGGCGATCAGAGCCACGATTATCAATACTGACGATATCAATT